CTCTATTTTGAATATGGGATGCTACCACAGCATGGCTTGATGAGCCGTGTATAGGTCTGCTCCTGGGATCCAAATCCACAAATCCTGGCCCACTGAAGCAGAGTGCGCAAACTTGATGACTACGCCACCAGGCTGGCCCCCAAAACATGACACTTCTAAATAACCCGTGAATCAAAAGAGGAAATCACAAGGGATATTAGAAAATATTTCTAACTGAATAGTACTGAAAATTCAGTATATGCGCATTTATGGTATGCAGCTAAAGCAGTGCTTCCAGGGAAAGTTATAGCATAAATACTTATATTAAAAAAGAAGAATATTTTAGAATCAGTAATTAAATTTCTACCTTAGGAAGCTAGATAAAGAAGAGCAAATTATACCCAAAGATATTAGAAGAAAGTAAATAATAAAAGTAAGAGTAGAAATCAATGAAATGGAAAATAGATAATCGGAAAAATTAACAAAGCCAAAGTTGATTATCTGAAAGGATTAATAAAAATTATAAACCTCTAGAAAGACTGGCCAAGAAGAAATAAAGAAAATGCAAATTACCTGTACCAGCAATGAAAGAAGCGATATCACTACAGATTCTAAAAGAGTAATAAGTCAATAGCAAGAACAAATTTAGGATATCAAATCATTATGTTGTACACCTGAAACTAATATAACGTTATATGTCAATTATACCTCAATTAAAAATATTTTGGGGGACTGGCCCCATGGCTGAGTGGTTAAGTTCGTGCACTCCACTTCAGCAGCCCAGGGTTTCACTGGTTTGGATCCTGGGCGTGGACATGGCACCACTCATCAGGCCACGCTGAGGCGGCATCCCACATGCCACAACAAGAAGGACCCACAGTGAAAATATGCAACTATGTACTGGGGGGATTTGAGGAGAAAAAAGCAGAAAAATAAAAAATAGACTTAAAAATATATATATATATTTTTTAGGGGCCAGCCCAGTGGCCTAGTGATTAAGTTTGTGTGCTCCACTTTGGTGGTCCAGGGTTCACAGGTTTGGATCCTGGGCACAGACCTACACATCGCTCATCAGTCCATACTGTTGTGGTGTCCTACATACAAAATAGAGGAAGATTGGCACAGATGTTAGCTCAGGGCCAATCTTCCTCACCAAAAATAATAATAATAATAAAATAAAATAACTAAAATTGGAGTTTGTGGCAGGGCCCAGGAAATAATAAAGCATGGCTTAAAAACAAAATTTTTTTAAAAAGAAAAGTTAGGCTAATAAATTAGTCAGATTCCTTGAAAAAGTAAACCTATAAAAATGACAAAAAATGAAATAGAAAATCTGAATAGCCATATATCTATTATAGAAATTAGATTCTATCAAATATTTAGAGAAAAAATACTGATCTTTCAAAAATAGAGGAGGAAACATTTCTCAGATTGTTTAGGAAAACAACATAACCCTGATACCAAAACCTGACAAGAACATTACAAGAAAGGGACATTAAAGACCAATACTCTTTATGAACATTGATGCAAAAATCCTTGTAAATTGAATCCGGCAAATGGAGTTTATCTTGGGAATGCAGCGTTGGCGTATTTACCACATGATCATGGGAATACAAGGTTGAGTACAGTTCACTTTACCAGAACAAGGGAGAAAAATCGTACCATCATCCCAATAGATACAGAAAAAGCATTTGGCAAAATTCAACATCCATTCATGGTAAAAATTCTCGGCAAGCTAAGAAGAGAAGGGAACTTCCTCAGTCTGATAACAGCATCTACTAAAAACATTCAGCTTAATGGTAAAATAATAAATACTTTCTCCCTGAGATTGGAAACAAAGCAACAATGTTCGCTCTCACCATTTCCACTCAACATTGTTCTGGAGGTCTTAGCAAGTGCATGAAGGCAAGAAAAGACATAAAAAGCATAAAGATCAGAAAGAGAGTAAAATTATCTTTGTTCACAGATTATATGAATGTTTCATAGAAAACTCTAAGGAATTTACAAAAAAAACTAGAGCTAATAAGTGAATTTAGCAAGGTCAATATACAAAAATCAATTGTATTATTATATACTAGCAGGAAACAATTGGAAAATAAAATTTTTAAAAATTCCATTTACAATAGCAGTCAAAACATAAAAAAATTAAGAATAAACGTAACAAGATATGCAGGATCTTTACGCTGAAAACTATAAAATGTTGCTGAGAAAAATTAACTAAATAAATGGAAAGATATACTACATTCATGATTGGGAAACTCAATATTGTTAAGATGACAATTTCTCCATAAAATGACCTATGGGTTTGGTGCAATGTCAATCAAAGTCTCAATGGACTTTTACGTAGAAATGAACAAATTGATTCTGAAATGTATATGGAAATGTAGTGACCTAGTCTGGTCAAAACAATCTTGAAAAAGGAGAAAGTTTGAGCACTTACATTATCTGATTTCAAGATTTAGGAATAATATAAGGTAATCAAAACAGTGCAGTATTTTTGTAAAGATATGTCTATATAGAACGTTGGAACAGAATAGAAAGCACAGAAATAGCCACGCACATATGTCAATTAATTTTTAACAAAAGACTAAGGATACAGAAACAAGTCAGTGGAATAAAATGGAGGAGGCAGAAATAGATCTCCCCATGTATAGACCACTCATTTTAGACAGAGATACCAAGGAAATTCAATAGGAAAACAAAAGTCTTTTTAATAAATGGTGCTGGAACAACTGTATAAACATACAGATAAAAATGAACCTTGACCCCTACCTCATAGTCAACACAAAAATTAATTCAAGATGGATCATAGATCTCAAAGCTAAAATTATTAAGCTTCTAGAAGAAAACATAAGTACCTTCGTGACAATGGGATAGGCAAAGATTTCTTAGGATATAAAAATCACTGATCATAAAAGAAAAAGTAATAAAACTGAACCTTACCAATAATAAAATTTCTGCTTATTGAAAGACACAATTAAAAATGAAAAGGGAGGGCTGGCCTGGTGGTGCAGTGGTTAAGTTCACATGCTCCACTTCAGTGGCCGAGGTTTGCCGGTTTGGATCCTGGGTACAGACCTACACACCACTTGTCAAGCCATGCTGAGGCAGTGTCCCACATATAAAGTAGAGGAAGATGGGCATGGATATTAGCTCAGGGCCAGTCTTCCTCAGCAAAAAGAGGAACATTGGCAGCAGATGTTAGCTCAGGGCTAATCTTCCTCAAAATAAAGGCAAACTACAGAGTGGGAGAAAATATTCACAATACATGTATCTCACAAAGGACTGCTACAAATATATAATAAAAATACAATCTGTTTAATAAAAAATGAGAAAATACCTAATAGACGCTTCACAGAAGGAAATATATGAATGGCCTTAAAGCACATGAAAAAAATGCTGAGCATCATTTGTTATCAGGGAAGTGCAAGTTAATACCATCGTAGGACACATGCCCTAGAACGGCTAAAATTAAAAAGGCTGACAACAGCAAATGTTGGCAAGGGTGTGGAGCAACTAGAACTCTGATATTGCTAGTAGGAATGTAAAAGGGTACAACCACTTTGGCAATCTGATAGTTTCTTTTAAAGTTGAACATACCTCTACCCTGTGACCCGTCACTCCTTCTAGTAATTACTCAAGAGAAAGGAAAATATGTCCACAAAAACACATGTACAAGAATGTAGCAGCTTTATTCATAATCATAAAAAACTGGAAGCAATCCAAATACCCAACAAGAATATCATACATAAGAAGGAATGAACAAATTGTGGCATAGTCTATAGTCATAGAAATCAGAGCGGTAGTTGCCTAAGGGAGGTAGGAATTGTCTGGAAGGAAAGAGAAGGAAAGTTTCTGGAGTGATGGAAATGTTCTGTACCTTGGTTGGGGTATTGGTTGCATAAGCATATGTATTTGTGAAAACTCATTGAATTGTACAATGTAGGTAAGTTTTACCTCCAAAAAGGAAGAAAGAGGTTCTGTAGTTAAAATAGAAATGATTATTTCGGGGCTGGCCCGGTGGCGCAGCAGTTAAGTACGCACATTCTGCTTCAGCGGCCCGGGGTTCACTGGTTCAGATCCCGGGTGCGGACATGGCACTGCTTGGCAAGCCATGCTGTGGCAGGCATCCCACATATATAAAGTAGAGGAAGATGGGTACGGATGTTAGCTCAGGGCCAGCCTTCCTCAGCAAAAAGAGGAGGATTGGCAGTGGATGTTAGCTCAGGGCTAATCTTGCTCAAAAAAAAAAAATGGGAAGAAATTATTATTTCTGTAGTCAGTACTATATATGTTATATAAATAGATTTAATTTTATATATATGACATAAAATTGAGTACATGTTTTAATATTTTTCAACACATATATTGTGCATCTACTTTGGGTCAGCCATTGTGATAGTTGCTGTGGTGTAAAGATGAGAAAGAGAAAGTGGCTGGACTGAAAGAGCTCAGCATCCAGCAGGAGCCATAAAAACATGAGATAAATGCCAATGTAAAAATGGATGTTGAGTGAGAGGCAAGTGCAAAGGAAGGAGGAATGATTCTGATTTGTTGGGGTTGGAGGATGGCACCAAAAAGTGAATAAACTTTTGTAAGGGAAGAAAGGTTTTAGGTCAAGAGAACCTTGTGAACTAAGGCACGGGAGCATGAGCCTGCATGACGTGTTTGCAGAATTTTAATTGGCCCCATGTGAATACAGTTATGAGAGATGATATCGTGGAACTCTTTACTTTAATGATGGGACCAATGAGGAATTGAGATTTATAGGCCATAAGGGACCACTGAAGCCTTTTAGACAAGAGTAACATCAATGCTTTGTTTCTCTGTTTTTTAAGAATACGTCTGGTAGTGGTCAAGAACAGTTATTAAAGTTGGGGAGAGACTCGAGGCAAAATGAACAGAGAGGGACTGCGGGAGTCTAGGGGTCACTTATTTTTTCTAAAAGACTTATTCACTAGAATTTTGTGGTTAAACATTTTAATTTGGCTATTCCTTTCTCTTTTTAAAATTAACAATAGGAATCCAGAAACATTTTGGACCACCACAGGAATGTTTCCCCAAGAATTCATTATTTGTTTTCACAAACATGTAAGGATTGAAAGGCTTGTAATCCAAAGTTACTTTGGTAAGCAAATCATATGTTAATTTTCATCATCTGTAAACTTTTGACAAAACACTCCTCTTTTTTTGCAGCATGGAAGCTAGTTTTATTGCTTGGGGGGAGAGCGGGGGGTACAGGTCAACTGCCTTGAGCACAGTTAGCTTCTCTGAAACTGCGCATTTGAAACCCTTCCAAAGCACGTCATAAGTTCCATGCAGTTTGCTGTGTGAAAGGCTTTGGCAAAAGACCCTATTATGAACATAAGAAGCCAATCTGCCAGAACTCTAGATTCCTTGACATCTTTATTACAAAGTCATTTGGCTTGGGGTTTTCTGTCAAATTCTTTCTGAAAATCTGATAACCCTTGTTATTTGCATTGGATAATTTTCGTTCTTCTGTTCATAATGGATTTTCTGAGGGATTTAGGAGAATCTCCCATTGGGCCATCGTTCTAATCCTGTCTTATGTTTATTTAAGCATAAAGTGTATCAGACAAAATCATGGCAGGAAACAGAATACATCCTAGATGATTCAGATGAAGAGATTTTATTGCTGGGACTACTTATAAAATTATCTTCTGGGTTAAGGGAACAAACCAGGGAAGATGAGACACCCAGAAACTGGCTACAGCAGTAAGCCATTACCACTCCTGGGACAAAGGAAGGAAATAGTGTCGCTGGAGCCCAGTGAGAGCTGGAGCCTGTGGATGAGGGCCTGCCCGGCAGGAGCTGTAAATCATAAAGGGACATAGCCACTGTCAGAGACATGGCACTGAAGCAGGAAGGGAGTGCAGGAAAAACAGCTTCATCTCGCTTCCCCACTGCCCTCCAGTTTCCTCCCATTGGCCAAATCCGACCAGGAGCCAGAAGAGTCCTGGTGATACAGTCCATGGCGGTCCTCCCCACAGGGCACAGAACAGAGCAGGGGAAGAACGGATCTGGGGTCCCAGGAGCCAGGTTAGGGGGGATGGAGAAAAACCAGCGCAGAAGGAAGATGGCTGCATTCCTGCGAAGTCTCTCTTCTGTCGTAATTGTAGAGGCTCTGGGGTCAGACAAGCCTGGAGCTTGAGTTCCGCTTCTGGCACTTACCAGCACCATATCACTCAACACTCTGCCTGACTTCTCTAAGTTGCCTGATTTCTCTAAAGCTGTTTCTTCATCAGTAAATCAGGTTAACAACACTTTTCTCATAAGATTGTAGTCAAGAACGAATGAATAAATATGCCTGACTTATAGTAGGGTCTTTATAAAGGTTTATGACCAAGGTCACTAATAGTATTATTATTCTTATTACCAGTATACAAAACAAAAATTCTGGACGATACCAAATTCAAAAAGGCTTTACCAGCTCTGTGTTGTATCCTTGCAAACATTTGTAAGATTACAGTGACACAGACTGCACTGCACCAAAGAGACTTATGCAAAAACAGAGTGAGTGAGTGATTTTCAGAACATAGTGTTCCTGACCCCAGTGTGTTGTACTGACATACCAATGTCTGACAGTCTCGGACAGAAGAGAAAAGGAACATGGGGACAGCAACATAGAATCGGGTACATAAGTAACACTTTATTTATTTTGTTTATTGACAACGTCAGTGCAGACTTTGAGGATTGAAAAGAGCACATCTAAAGAGCCCGTTGATTTTGAGCAATGGATTGAAAGAGGTATGTGTTTGTTTCATCAGCATTGTTCTGAGCGTGTGGGAGTAGAAAATTGTCCTTTGACTATATTTCCAGTCAGGCTGCATTTTGGTGAAAAAAGATGACCTGAATGATTCTTGTGACCTATGTAGGGCCTACAGAAACCCAGGTTTGAATACAAGCCTGCTTCTTCACTTACTGGTTATGTGTAACTGTTAACATGTTACTTAATTTTTCTGAGTTTCAGAATCCTTATCTGAAAAATAGAGATGATATGTACCATTTAAGGCTTTTGTGAACATAGTGTCTGGCATGTGGTTGACAAACAATAAATACTAGTTTCTTGTCTTTCCTTCCTTCCTGATTAATGGTACAATTTAAATAACATCAGCAGAATTGGTAGCCTCTAGTTAAACACAGCATATTGCCTTCATGTGTGCATCCCCTTTCCTTCCCAAAGTACTATGAAAATAATAGTAAAGGAGCAAAAAGAGGCTTAAACCTACAAGGACAAAAATTAAAAATAAGCAAAAAAACAGGAGACAAAAGCAGATGTGAAAGATCAATATATATTATGGAAGAGTGGACAGCCATGGAGGAGAAGTGACTTCAGTAGCTCAGTGGAGTATGTTGTCATCTAAGTGCCGGCCAAGGAGAATGTCAGTGAGAAGCAAGCCGGGTTGCCCAGGAGAACCCCAGAAAGATGTAGAGCTTGAAGGCAAAAGGTACCATGGAAAGTGTGAGTGAGACATGGACCAGAAAACAAGGGTGATTAGTTGAACATCTATATGTGGAGTGGTTGGACCCTAGGTACCTTCTCCTTCCCCACAAAGCTAGGTGACCACTCCTTCCTGCCACAAACTGCCCACGACGGATGACTAGGAATATTGAATGTTGGGGCTCAGAACTCAGGGAAACCAGGCGTGGGAGAGAGAGTGAGTGTGACATGGAGTTGAAAATGGGATTGAAGTGGAAGCCTGCATATGGAATGATTGGGAACTCCTCCTGTGCTCTGCTGTTAACGACAGCAACTGAGAATATAGCCCCAGCCAGGAGACTGGAGGGTTCATCTTTGGAGAAACTGAATGGCCCCAGAAAAAGATCTCTGGATACTGAGAAAGGCTAGCTCATTCTTGGTCACCTGATCAAAGTCTATTAGTCAGCGAGTCTGGCTCTTGATCACAGTTTTCAAATGAGTTATTCGTAAGTAGCAAAAGACAGCCAAAGATCACCACACATTTGATGAAGACCTCAAACTCTGAATGTAATCAAGACTTTAGCTCTAATTTCCAATCTATAGGAAATATAGAGGATAGAGGAACAAATTAAATGAAACCATGAGAAGGCAAGATGGCAAATTGTGGGACATTATACAGGACAACTGACCTGCTTTCTTCAATAAGTCAATGATGTGGGGAAAAAAATATGTGTGTGGGAGAGAAAGCAATTCAAGATTAAAAGAGACAATTCTGGGGGCCAGCCTGGTGGCATAGTGGTTAAGTTTGCATGGTCCGCTTCAGCGGCCCAGGATTCACAGGTTCAGATCCTGGGTGCGGACCTAGCACCGCTGGTCAGGCCACGCTGTGGTGGCATCCTGTATAAAATAGAAGAAGATGGGCACAGATGTTAGCTCAGCGACAGTCTTCCTCACCAAAAAAAAAAAATTTTGATTTGAATAAATCAACTGCAAAAAGACATTTTGGGGGAAAATGGGGAAATTTGAATATAGACTAGGTACTACAGTCATGCGTTGCTTAACAATGGAGATACATTCGGAGAAATGTATCATTAGACAGTTTTGTCATGTGAACATCAGAGTATACTTACACAAACCTGGATCCTATAACCTGCTACACACCTAGGCGATGTGATACTAATCTTATGGCACCACTATTGTATATGAGGTCTGTCATTGACCAAAATGTCATTTTGCGATTCATGACTATATATGACTTTGGAGCAATTTTTTTTTTTTTGAGGAAGATTGGCCCTAAGCTAACATCTGCCACCAGTCCTCCTCTTTTGCTGAGGAAGATTGGCCCTGAGCTAACGTCTGTGCCCATCTTCCTCTACTTTATATGTGGGACACCTGCCACAGCATGGTTTGATAAGTGATGCATAGGTCTACATCAGGGATCTGAACTGGTGAACCCCGGGCTGCCGAAGCACAGCATGCCAACTTAACCACTGTGCCACCAGGCCGGCCCCTAAAGCATTATTTTTAGCGTTAGTATGATAACAATATTGTGGTTATGTAAGAAAATATTCTTATTATTTAGAGATGGATAATCAAATATTTAGAAGTAAAGTGTCATGATGTCTTAGACTTGCTTTAAAATAGTTTAGCAAAAAAATTAAATAAATCAAGTATGGTGAAATGTTAGTAATTGTAAAAGGTGATGGGTATATATAGGAGTTATGTTCTGTCTTTTACATATGTTTAAAATTTTCCAATGTTTCATAATTAAAAAAATCTAAGTAAATGAAAAAAGAAGTTATTATTAACTCCTGATTGGGGAGGAGTTGTATAAGAAAAAAAAATATGATCTTAATTTATTACTTATTTCAGCAGCAAATAACATTTGTGTAGATAATAATGTAACCATCAAGTATCGATTTCAAAACGGAGAGGATGGCAGGAGGGAAAAGTTAGTGGCAGGAGGAGAAGGAAGAGGATATTGGTCCTAGAGACCTAAATTTTCACCTACCATAGTATAAAGTCAGTAAAAATCGATAAACCAAGCGGAGAAATATAAACATAATTCTAGGAAAAACAGCTGAAAGAGTTACAAACATTTACCTCTGTGGAGCGGGACTGGAGGAGTCAAGCCGGGGTTACTACTTTTCATTACCTCAGAGAAAGGCTAGGAGACAGAAAGAAAGTCATATATAATCTTACTTCCGGAGACTCCCCTTTTTGTACTGCATGCCTTTGAAAATTGTGTACACTAACTATTTTGATACATATAAAATTAATTTCTAAATAATGTCAATATTTATTATTGTATCAATTAAATATTTCATATTTCCAAAAGAATGTTTAACCAAATAAATTAATCTGTCCTAAAAAAATAAAAGTTTTGTAAGTTGGCTACCAGAAAAGATCAATTCATGGGCAGCTTAGCATAATTCGGCATCACAGTGGAACTTCACAGTGGGAGCTGAGGTCTAGTCGTTACCCATGGGCACTGTGAGGCGGCTCCCTTCAGGCCTGCAGTTGCTGTCGGTAGCTTAATCCTTAAAAAGGATTTTCACATTTTATCAGTTCCTTCCTTTATATTCCTTTACTATAATTTACGTTTGCATTTCCTTTTGTTTGTACTCACTAGAGAGATTTTATAGCTCATAAATAGTTTATCTTTCATATCTTTTATATCAAATATCTCTCTTTTTATGTTGAATTTTAACCCCAAAACACTGGCAAATCTAGTCTAACTGTAGTTTACCAGATATCCTTTTTTGCTGAACATAAATTTCAGTAGCTCACTTCATGTATTTTGAGCCCTAACTCATTTCTGTTAAATTTGTGTTTCAGATCTAGTACACACAGAAGGGCAGCTTCAAAATGAAGAAATTATGGTAAGTAAATTTATTTCCTAGAGATAAATATTGTCTTTAGCCAGCGCAATGTATTTAAATTTTAAACGTATCTCTATAGTTAAAGTTAATACATACCCGTATGATATTATAGGTTCTGTACCTAATCAACCAATAGAGGTATTCGCAATAATATTAATCTAAATGTAGCATTCATAAATTAGGCTCTTATCTGTCATAGACAGAATGACAGCAAGGATAAAACAGAATTCACTTATTTGTTTTTGTTTTCATTCATAGATTCTAAGTATTTACTTGCTTTACTTTCTTTCATTTGATTCTGTAGGCCTATAGGAATCAAAAAAGGTTGAAATGCCAAAATTGGATGTTAATTTAAGCATGAAAGGACAAGGGAGATTCAGATGAGGGGAACTGGAGCATAGGATCAGCAACAAATAAGCCAAAGAGAGATGAGGTAGAAAGAGAACCAGCATTTTTCGACAACATTCCATTGGGCTTTGCTTGTCAATGGAGTGAATGGCCGTTGATGAGGAAGCTGCTGCCTCATCAGGAGTTTCTCTGCTCCTGCTGCTTGGTCAGGCCCTGGTTTCAGAAAACACAAAAAAGGGAAACAACTGAATGTGTGTTTTTTCAGGTGGTAGTGTTTGTTTAAAGTTTCTCTAAATGAGGGTTAAAGTGGTACTTTGTCCATTAAATTTCCTCCTTTACAACTTTCTGGGAGCCGCCATGAAATAAGTATTTCAAAAGATTCTGTAGGAAGTTTTTGAACCCTATGAATTCTCTTCTCTACCACCCAAATGTGCCCGATGCCTGGGGAGGCCAGTGGAGGGGCAGAAAAATGATTAATTAGACTGAATTGTATCTTCCTGTTTTTCTTCATCTTTATAATGGTTATGATTAGTAAGTCTCTGCTAAATATTTTGTCAGGACTCACTGTGGATCAGGCAGGGTCGCACTGCAGAACATTTGGAAAATAGTAAGAGGAGGTGGGAGGCTGAAAATCACCCATCATTTTATACCCTGCCACAACAGCTTTCACTACCCCTGCCTTCTAGTTGTCGGCTGTAAGCATCACATAGTTATAATAGCAATGATGAACAATTTTGTATCACTTTTTTAACTTAATATTATATGCAGGCTTCATAATTATAATTCTAAGATTAAATGTATATAAATAGGCAAATGCTAACTAATTTCTTTTTTCCTCCGTCTGTCGTTAAAAGTAATACTACAAGGGACGTCTTATGCACGTTCCTGCTACCATGATCTCATCTTTTAAGTTATTTTCTAAGATTAAATTTCAAAGAATGGAATTACTGTGTCCAATGATATAGACGTATTTATAGGTTTTTATTTATATTGCCAAATTGCTTTCCAGAGAAATTATATAAATGTAAAAGTATAGTAATATTTCAGGATTATATTTCAGTATATTTTGAGGCCTCATTAAGCAAAGGAAATCTCTTATCATGAAAACTACTCTAGAAAGACACTTTTATAAATTTGATGAGAAGTGTGCAGTTGCGATTTTTAGCTCCACCTGTTATTTTTCCTCAAACCAAGGCTGATGTTCAGTTGATACACACTAGAACAATGTACTGTTATATATGGCTGACTTTTCTTCTGAATGTCATCCTGTAGATTGTTATGTATTTAGACTATTACTTTGGCATCAAACCCTTTCTTCTGCTGACTGCTTGTTTAACAGTGAACTAGAATTGCTAAAAGTGTCTGTATTGATTTTTCCCCTACAGGCACGTGATGGACATGCCACTTACTTGAGATTCATTATTATGTCAGCCTTCGACCATTTTGCATCTGTACATAGCATTTCTGCAGAGGGCACAGCACTCTCAAATCTTTCTTAGTAATTATAACAAGATGTCTGGCATGATGTTTTAACAATATATTTATTTAAATGTGAGGTTCTTTTATATACTTTATTAAAGGGATTTGTATCAGTCTATTTCAATTTTCATTTATTTTCTGTTCAGCATTTTGTGCAAAGGGATTTGCTTTCATCAGTCACCAATGATGGTCATCATCGAGGATATAAAAGCTTCTGCTTCAATATATAGCTTCATCAAGGAAGTGACTATACATGAAAACTTAACTGATAATACATTGTGTCCCCACGCATCTAACATGGTGCCTTTCAGGTCTCAGTGCATTACACATCTCAGTGCATTAATATTTTAATTTATTGATTGATCGATGCAAAGGGCTAAGTGAGCAATATAGACAAGGTTAAATCAAGCACAAGAAAAAATGACACGATCAAGAGACATGGTAAATACACTGCTGCCAGCGTAACACCGCATACTGTTTTACAGTAAGCTTTTTTTATAATTAAAGTGTACACTCTAACATAATAATAAAAAGTATAATATAGCAAATACGTAAACTATAACATAGTCACTTATTATCATTATCAAGTATTATGCATTGTACATCATTGTATGTGCTATATTTTCATATGACTGGCAGTAACTAGCTTCGTTTACACCAGCATCACCACAAACACATAGTAACACATTGTGTTACAATGCTGTGACAGCTATGACGTCACTAGGTGATGGGAATTTTTTAGCTCCATTATAGTCTTATGGGACCACCATTGTACATACGAAACATTATATGGCCCATGACTGTATGCACACACACACACACACACACAAACATACATACATATATACATACACGCATCCTTTTGGTTCTGTTTCTGTGGAGAACCCTAACTAATTCAGGTTTTGGTAAAGACAAGTAGAGCTGCGAGGAAATCTTAGACTTCGCTTAGTTAGTTATAGGTAGTAATATTGTACTTTATCTTGAAACTATCTTATTATCCTATATATTGTAGGATAATGCAAATAAGTTATTATGATAATCTGGTAGGAATCATGATTATAGTTTAAAAGTAAAGAGATACAAGTATAATATAAAAGAAATTAAGGAGGGGCCGGCCCCGTGGCTGAGAGGTTAAGCTCTCATGCTCCGCTTCAGCGGCCTAGGGTTTCACTGGTTTACACCCCACATGCCACAACTAGAAGGACCCACAACTAAAAATACACAACTGTGTACCAGGGGGCTTTGGGGAGAAAAAGGAAAAAAATAAAATCTTTAAAACAAAAAAGGAAATTAAGTAAATTTCTTACAGTTTAATTTTAATTGAAAATACAGTATAAACTCTCTCCCTCTCCCTCTCTCTCCCTCTCCCTCTCTCTCTCTCTCTCCCTCCCTCTCTCTCCCTCTCTCTCTCCCTCTCTCTCTCTCTCTCTCACACACACATTTCTGGGGCCAGCCCCGTGGCTGAATGGTTGAGTTCACGCTCTCTGCTTTGGTGGCCTGGGGTTTTGCCAGTTCAGGTCCTGGGCATGGACATGGCACCACTCATCAGGCCATGCTGAGGCAGCATCCCATGTGGCACAACCAGCGGCACTCATGGCTGGAATGTGCAACTGTGTGCTGGGGGCACTTTGGGAGAAGAGGAGGAAAGGAGGGAAAAAAAAAAAAGAAGATTGGCAACAGATGTTTGCTCAGGTGCCAATCTTTAAAAAAAAAAAACAGAATACACATTTCCTCCTTTGTCCACTGAAAGGGCTTGGAAGCAATGACATCCACATAGCAGTGAGCACAGCAAGTACCCAGAGTGTGGTCTCTAAATACCTTTCCCATTAATTGGAACCAAGGCTCTTTGGAGCAACTGCTGATTTCAAATCTGGGACAAGAAATACACAAGATGAGCCTGGGACATTTTATTATGCCACAATGTAAAGAGAGATGGGTCATATTAGAAGGATACAGAAGCCAACATGAAGGCACTCTTGTTGGCCAAAGACGGGGCAATTTGAACAGAAAATAAAATAATACAGTTGATTGAAACATATTTAATATATTTTAAAAATTAATTCATATTGATATGTGAAAGAGAAAATAAAAGACCAAACCAACAAAACCCTCGTTGGACCCCATGGGAAGTAACTAGGGCAAAATTTCTCCTTTGAAAATTTGTATTTAAAAAGAAACAATTAGGCAACTATTGTGTACAAGCTGTATTTGAGGGTTACTAAATAACCCTAGTAGATAAGAGAAAGTTCTTTGCAAAAGAATTCCTGCAAATAAATGTGGAAGGTATAATAGAGTTAGAAAATCATTATTAATTTAGGTGAAGTTAAAAATTGATACGGGCAACAATCATTAGTGGATGAAACCTTAATTGAAAGATTGATGGGGAACTTTATAATGAAGGGATCAGGCTGTTACCACCTGAATCTACTAATTTACCAAAAGTAGATGAACCAGTATATCAATTGTTGCTCTGTTATAGGCCACTGGCCTCAAACAACAATTTCATTTGCTCACAATTTGGTGGATCTGCTGGCAGTTTTTTCCAGTTTGTGCCTGCTTGGCTGATCTCTTTGGTGAGCTGGCAACTCGGCTGAGGTTTAGATTGTTGAGGATGACTTCTCTCACGTGTCTGATGGCTTGGAGGTTGGTTGGTCTAGGTGGTCTCAGTTGGGACTATTCATCTCTGCTCTAAGTGGTTTCTCATCCTTCAGTAGGTGCTACAGCCCAGGCTTCTTCACATGGTGGTCTCAGAATTCTACAAAGTAGGAAGAAAGGGACAGCCCCAATGTGCAAACATTTTTTGAGTCTCTGCTTGCATCATATTTGCTATTGTCCTGTTTCCCAAATGATGTCATATAGCCAAGTCCAGAGTCAGAACGAGAAGGGTCTACCCAAGGGCGTGGATACAAAGAGGTGTGACCAAATGGGGGGAGGGGGTGGTGGTGACTATTACTGCTACAGTCTACTACAGTTAGACTCCGTATGCCTCCTGATGTGATGTGCTAGGAAGCACACAGACCAGCTATGAAGTTCTGTCACCAAAATTACTGAGCCTGTATCTAATCAAGTTCCAGATTTAACTTTCATTTTCAGGAAATTCAAGGGATAGAGGAACAAGTAAAATGACACCACAAGGAAGCAAACAGATGAGTAGCCATTAATGCAGCTCACTGAAATGCCCAGATCTGCGCCTCCCCCAAACATAGTAAGATATACTTCCCAGCTACCTTTGTTTGGGTAGGTCCATGTGACCAGTTTTGGCTAACTAGAGGAAGGGTAATTGACTTTTAGGCTGAACATTTAATTACCTGCATGAGACCCTTCAAAGCTCTTTTCTTTCTCTGATGCAACGACCAGTAGTGATGTTCTACATAGTAACTGCTTCCTCAGTCTAGGTCTGGGAGCGAGACTGAGGATGACAGAGGGCAGAGCTCCCAGTCAATCAGCGATGGACGTATAGGAGAAATAAAGCTTCATTGTCTCAAGCCAATGAGACTTTGGAGTTGCCAGTTATCACAGTATAACCTGGCCTATCCTGACTGATAGACAGACAAATCTAGAATGTGGCTCATCCTACAAGAAAAGTGACCTGACTTCTTCAACAAGTCAGTGGCATGAAAAATGTTAATTAATTCAAAAGGGGTTCTGCTCTAAATCCAAAGAGATATAAGAGCCCCAATAACCGCATGCCATGTATGGCTCTCATTTGGATGCTGATTTGAGCAAACCAATTGAAAAACAAAATGTTGTGATAATTGGGGAGATCTATGGACTGCATGTTATTTTTCATCCTACCAGGTGTGATATGTGATACAGGCATTAAGCTTGTGTAAGAAAATGCCCATATTTTTCAGAGATGTATATAGAAATATGTGGGGGTGAAATGACATGATATCTGGAATTGGCTTTAAACTACTTAAGCAGATTGTTTTTAAAGGAAAAAATGTTAGTTGAAGCAATACAGCAATAAATTCTTGGATCTGGGTGATGGATATATGGGGCTTCATTGTACTAGTCCCTCTACTTTTTTTTCCTTCTTCTCCCCCAAGCCTACTAGTACATAGTTGTATATTCTAGTTGTAGGTCCTTCCAGTTGTGGCATGTGGGATGCTGCCTCAGCGTGGCCTGATGAGTGGTGTCATGTCCACGCCCAGGATCCGAACGGGGGAAGCCCTGGGCCCTTGAAGCGGAATGCGTGAACTTAGCCACTCGGCCACAGGCGGCCCCTAGTCTACTTTTATGTATGCTTGAAATTCTTCATAATAGAAAAATAAAAATAAATAATGTTGCTGGGGACATCTTTGTACATAAATCATTGCCTGCCCCCAGATGATTTCCTTAGAAGAGATTCTGAGAAGGGTGTTAGTCAGTGCTGAACAGCTTTAGGGCTCTTTTTTTTTTGAGGAAGGTTAGCCCTGAGCTAACTACCGCCAAGTCCTTCTCTTTTTTGCTGAGGAAGACTGGCCCTGAGCCAACATCGTGCCCATCTTCCTCTACTTTATACATGGGACGCCTACCACAGCATGGTGTACCAAGCAGTGACATGTCCCCACCCGGGATCCGAACCGGCAAACCCTGGGCTGCCGAGAAGCGGAACGTGCGAACTTTGCTGCACCACCAGCCCGGCCCCAGCTTTAGGGCTCTTGACACTTCCTGATAACTTGCTTACCAAGACTTGTTGCACAGATTTACGCTTGGAAAGGTAGATTTTAGATCAATGGAGGAGAATAGGAAAGGTATCCTACGACAGTGTGGTCAGAGGTGAGGGGTGTGCTCTCTCATGAAGCACATTTGGGGAGTGATGAATAAGAGTCTGACCAGACCAAAGAAAGACCAAAACCGTGCATGACAGCTGGATCACAGAGAGCCTCTAATGCTTTCAGATATCTTCCCGGAACGCTGGAGCCATTTAAGGTTTTCGAGAAGGAAGGTGACTTAGAGCAATCATGTTCATGTTCAATAAAATGAAATGCTGAGGATTTTGTTTTGGCCAACTTCCTAAACTGAAATGTCAATAGTTCTTTGTCTAAGAAAGACTGTGTAAGGCTTACAGATTGCTAGAAGGGGTCTCCAGAGGTTATCTGATTGATCTTTGCGGCACAGGCCTAGTAAGTTATT